ACAAAAGCATTTTCTGCTTTCCTGTTCTTTGAAAATAAAAAAAAATGTCCAAATGGACTTGCACCCATAGAGCTACGTAAAAAGGAGCGGCAACTTGAATGACATTTTTAGCCTACAGAACACGCTAATGGCTTACTAATGAAGGTAGACTTTGAAGCTGCACAATTCAAAGATCAATACAAAGCACAAGTAGATAACGCTAATATACTTATGAGTTTGACATTTGCTAAAAACATTACGCTGGGAGAGGGGGGGGGCATTATTTCAGTGATGATGTTGAGCAAGCCTACTTCTTTGCTCTTTCCTTCCATAATGCAGCAATTTAAAGGGATTTTAATGGCCAAACACAAGCGAAAGAAGGCTTACACCGCTGGCACATAAACACAAGGTCAGAACCTTGAGGACTAAAGACACATACCCATTTTCATGCCCTAGTAAGGAAAGTGCACTTATGCACACTAATAACAAATTAAATGGTGTTTTTAAAAGAGAACACATAATTAAGATGAAATATTATTTGCATTTGTCACTGTGAAGTAGATGCTTTTTAAAAAGTGTGGACTACAGTGAAAAATATCTTTTCAAAAGACTGTCGGCACTAAGGGAATCGTTACATGCACTGAGATATGCTAAACATTATTATAACATTACATTATTGCAGAACTCTTGCACAATACCATATTATTGTTTATCACTTAGCTTAGCTGCTTCACACAATATGTGTTTGAATATAAAATCTTCCAGCAAGAGAAGAAACAAAAATAATAGTTTTGTGAAGAATGCTGATATTGTTTAAGAAAACTGATACGATGATTGTATTTAGTAACAAGACTCCGAAAAAGGGGTTTGATTGACTCAGTCATAACAGTGGGAGATCTGTAACATTTAACAAAGGGTTAAAGTCTTGGATATTATTTTAGCTGTGGAAGATGGCTTCTGGTTGTCAGCAATACTTCAATGAAGATTCTTGAAACCCACTGATATGCTGCTTTATAACCCTGCTGACTCTGTTCCTAGGTTAATCTGAACAGACATAAGTTTGCCTTGTTACCTTGTCGTTGTGTCCTGTTGAGTTCTTGGCCTCGCTTTCCCTAACCTTTCTTCCCAAGTGCTACATCTACAACCAACAAGAGATCCTTTGTCATGCTGTTCAGTCATGCAGTGAAGCAGAGACAGGAAGAGTCAGTATTCTTTTCCTCCTCCTAGCCACACTTGAACCCTCCCATTTGGGCATTCATGTTTTCAAAAGCTAAAATTTGTTGATGGATATCTAGAATCCTGCCATTAAGTCTTTGATCTGGGCTTGTGGTTAATGAACACAAAACAATGGAGACACACTGTAAAATGGCACTGTGAAATCAGCCAGATTCTGTCACATTCTAGACTGAGACACTGCTGGGTAAAAACAAATTGTGTTTGTTAATATAAGACACTGGTTTGATAAAACATTTCATTTTAAAGATCTAACAAACATAGAAAGAGGATGGATGAATTGCAGGTCTGCTGTACAGTCAGGTAGTTGTGTGGAGTAGTTAGGGTTTTAGATTCATAACTGGATGGTTTTGGGATCAAATCCTAGGTGAGATAATAGTGTTGTACCCTTGAGCAAGGTAGTTCACACACGTTGCGCTGGTAAAATACCTGGTTGTTTTGGTGCAAAAACCAGGCGGGAACAAGCAAACGTCTTTTTAGGCGGTTCGGTGGCGGTTGACGGTTTGTATCCCGCGGCCGGCAGACGAATCCTACTCTGTTGGGCCCCTGAGTAAGGCCCTTAACCCCAACTGCTCCAGGGGTGCTGTATAAAAGGCTGACCCTTGCGCTCTGACCCCAAGCTTCTCTCCCTGTCTGGGTGTCTCATGGAGAGCAAGCTGGGGTATGCGAAAAGACTAATTCCTAATACAAGAAATTGTATATGGCCAATAAAGTGATCTTATGTAAGTTTCTATAGTGAATAACAGATTGTTTGTCATGAGGGCAAAACCTCATTCAAATGTGTTATAAGGACACCTAGGATAAATCTGCAGTACTACAAAGATATTCCATACCCCAAAGACACAAAAAGAAAACCTTTAGATTTTTTAGGGCAGATTAACTGCTAATATAATAAAATTAAACATTCTTGTCTTTCATAGGAGATTTTCAAGATGTCTCAACACTGACAGAGCATCTTTAAAAGGCAGGACAACAAAGGGCTCTTTCAGGTTTGCAGTGAGCCTTAAAGAACCCAACACACAGTGAGATGGCAGCTTTAACATACTGTCATTCATAGGATTACAGGACACAGCTGACAGATTCTGTTTCTCAGAAAAAAAGAGAAGCTTTTCTTTTTTTCTAAACCGACATTTTTCAATAACTGCCCATCAAGAACAATCACAATTTCAGAGCCGAAGTCTTAGCTGCTGATTAGAGTGATTTTTTTTATTATATTGTAAACAGCAAATAATACACACTTGAGGGCAACAGGATGATATCTAATTAAATTTCCATATAAATTAAAAGCACAAAGAGATTACAGGCAAATCCCTGAATCAACACAAAGCATATAGCCCATCTCGATGCTTCATTGTGATTGGAAGGACCATGCTTCAAGTTCCATAAATTATCCATTAACAATCCCAAAAACAGCCTGAAATTTATAGCAGTCTTTGATTCTCACTGAAAATAAGAAAAGGTTTGACGACATAAAGAAAATGAATGACTCTAGGCAATCCCACCCTCTTTACTCCACCCATGTTCGTTGCTACAAAAAGATGTTATTGATGTACAGTTCTGCTGAATAGAAGTCCTCATTTTCCGATAAATTTTGATGATGTTGACTCATTCTAAACAGCTAGTAATATGCAGTCTTTAGTGGTTGGGGGTGGTTCTTTGACATTAAAAAGGAGGTGATGTGTCATATTCAGAAACCATAACAAAACACTCATTGCAGTGATTCTTTCTGGAGTTGTGTCAGCTGACATCTCTACTTACAGAAAGACAACTGTCACAATGCAAGGAGTAAAGAAGGTGAAAAAAAACATTTCACTGGTAAATCCTGGGCGTGCTGTTGTTGACATGACTGATTTTCTAGTCTGAAGTCCTGAGTTCTAGGAATCTCCAGCTTGGAGACTTCAGAAAGGACACATTTAATGAGAAATATTGTTTATTGCACCAATGCAAAGTGTGCACCTTAGTGAATCTGCAGCACAATGAGAACTAAATACTATTTTGTGTATGTTTTAGCATGAACATGTCAAGCCTAATGTATAAATGACAACATGGCAACGACAGCACCCAAAAATTGCAGTTTTGAAGTATCCTCACTGAATCCTTAAATATTCATCCTTCCATTACAGCTCCTTTGAAACCTCACATGCAGTTCTGGTGGCAAAGGACACAACCTAGTGTTCAAAATAATCAAGCCAAGCTTAGGCAGACAACACAAATTTATCTTGTACAAGCCTAAAGAAATCACAGTCTACAGCACCAAAGGAATGAAAGTTATTTACCTGTTCTGTAATGTGAACCCTTCCATACTGAAAATGTTATAGCCTGTTGCTAGATCAGCTTGTTCAATACATTGAAACAGTCAGAACACTGTCTATATGTGTATGGTGCAGACTTCTAATTCTAGTACACTATATATGTTCCTGTACAGAATTATAACAAGCCGTATATATAGTGTATATAATGACATGTGGCCCAGGAATATCAGTGCTATAAATCGTTTTACAAAATTACATAATTAACATATTCCTGGCTGAGCATTGGAGCGCAGTGAGAAAACCACTAAATACATGACTAGCCAGTTTTCCAATTGCCACCATCATCATTCATAGTAAGGAAGATCATGAATATGTTCAATTCAATTGTTCAACAACCAAGACAGAGACTGGGAATTCCAAGAAAAACATTAGAAAGTGATACACTGGCACTGTGCTGGCTGCAGAGTGGTGAGGTAACTCATTATTTACTCTACAAAACATCAGTGAAATTCTGGTGAAGACAAAGGCCCTTTTTCAAAAAAACAATAAATATTTAAAGCCCTTCTTGAATTCAGTGCTAACTGAATGTTAAAATCTGCCATTTCTAAATATATGTTTTACTTAATAGATCTAATGTATGTTGATGTGTGTGACAAACTTAAGTTCAAAGTGTAGTTTGAAATTACACGATTACAGGCAGTTCCACACAGAAAAAAATGCTGTATTTTTACCTTAACGGGAGTCGGTCATATAGTGACATATATTGATAAGGCCACTGTGTATCATTAAACTGAGGTAAGGGAGAGGCATGGGAGATGCTGACATCAGCCCTTAGCGCTGACAGTAATTTTGCTGTGACAGTTTCATATGACAGATCTTGAGCAGCACGTAATTCTGTTTCAGGTTGAGTTGCCATTCATAAAGATCTGATCTATTACAATAATGTAGTTTCTACAGAAGCTTAATGCATGGATCTTCCAAAGAGAATAGCTTGTTTTGAGTCAATTACTGCAGAAGCAAATTTAGTTGTAACCTGTTAATGCAGCTTTTAGAGTAAACAATAAGGAAAACAGAAGGGGGAAAATCCTAAAATAAACAAGAATGGTGTTCTTTAAAGACAAATGAACTCTTAAACAAATTACTGACAAGGACAGTGTATAAAATTCACAAGTAACAAATTTATAAAGCTGCTGCTATAACTCTGCATCTAGAGACTGTTAATCACCAAGCTACTGAACTAATAATAGTAATAAGTTTTATACTCCTCTCCTCATATTAAAAGGCCACACATTTTTTTAATCACTCCAATTAGAATGTTAAAGTCTGAGTGGCACAGAACTCAACTGCACTGTAGCGAATGAGCTAGCTATTTTAATTGGTAATGAATGATTACTTTAAAGTGTTAGCAGGCACTGGAATTGTAATTCAAAATAAGAGAAAATTAATCACATTAATTACCAGAAAAATCTTAATTAACATAATAGAGGCTGACAGGAATAAAGGCCACTGCATGGTACAAGGCAAGAGCAGACATTGTTTCATTGGGAAACAGGGCTTTTAATGCACCACACGTCACATTCACTGAAAATACATGTAGGCACGCTTCTGTGTTTACAATAAGTACGGAAAGCAACATAATTTAAATAGTTCTACCATATTCATTCACCGCCTGCTTAGACTTTCTTTCGATTTTAGTTATTTCCAAGTGACCAGTGACATGGGACTATATCATATTACCTTTGATAGCTGAAGGAGATGATCAAGCAATCAATGGGCATTTTTTTCCCCATGTTTCAGTCAGGGTATATACTTTTTTGTTCTTGTAAAGCCCACTTAAAATCTACTTTTCAGAGGCTGAGGTGGATTCTGTCAATGTGATTGGCTGGAATCTTGGCATCTGCATCCTCTCCACAGACCCTGAAGCTGATGTGGGTGTTGTAGGGGATAGTGGCCATGCTCGTGAGTGGCCTGCCCAGCCAGCCCTGCCTGCCTCGCTTGTACATCTTGACCGTCACCTTTCAAAAGACAAAAGAAAGAAAAACATAGGGCTGCAGTTAGTGGACAGCTTAGGGGCAGAGTTCGGGGGCAACAAGAGAACAGCCCCACACATCACGTAGACTTGCCCCTCCTCCCTCACTTTCCCCTTTCACCTCAGAGGGTACTGGGATGAGGCAAAGGTCGTTGATGCAGAGGAAGTGATGCGTGCACTGCACTGCAGTAGTGACACCCCTACATCTTCTTCATTTTCTGACCTCGCGTGTGCTAGTAAATCTGGAGAATTCTACTTTCTAAACAGACTGAGCATCTCAAGAAAGCTGGGGGAAAAAAATTCTCTTCTAGCATCTGTTGCCTCAGCAGTGCAAGTTACGTTAGCTCTGAACGCCACAGAACATTAAGCGCTCCCAAAAGAACTTCCAGATGTATTTTATTCTAATAGCGTCATTATATGGTAAATTAAAAGGCAGGGTAAATGGAACTGTAAAATTTAAATTACTTGAAAACCACATCTCTCAAGCTTGAACAGTCTTTTGTGGGGCTGTCGACACAGTAAATGGGAGTCAGGCAACTGCAATAAGTGTTAATCATATATTTATAAAATAATAATGAGAGAATGAATAGTACAGTAGGGTAGCTGTACACACCACTATCAATTATTTTTAATATTCCAGCTGAGAACATAATAAGACATGTGCAAAATGGTTTGTTTTAAACAAGCCATATAGCGTTCTGCTAGGGATCTCATCCATTTCCTTCCACTTTCTGCTCGGAGTGTATTTTCGTCTGAAATATTAAAGATGTGGTGTCTCTTTCCTACCGTCGCATGGGATGTGCTTCCCATATAAATCTGTAATGATGCAAAGAAATTCTCCACAGCAGATTCTGCAGTCCCCTTTATGCAATAGTTTTGCATTTTATGTAGCCATTCATTTAAAAATATTTAACTTAGTTAGGACACCTGCTCTGAAACAGCTCTTTACAATGTGTTTCTGCTGGCAGTGTCTGCAGAAATCCGCAGCGAGGAGATCTGAGTAAAATAGACTGCTCCACACAGTACTCTGAGACAGCTACCAAAATGTGCTGCATTGAGTTGCACAGCCTTGGTAAATATGAATGTACAAATCTTCGACCGTACAATGTCAACTTTCTTAATCTTTATCTTGTCATTAAAGCTTTCCCAGTCTCCCTTCCCCCAGCCTGCTTCTCTGTGTTGGAGTTGAAGGTGAGACTCTTCCGCAGGTCTCTTACTGGACTACCAGGGGTCAGCAGGGGCATGACACTGACTGAGACCCCCTGACCTCTGTCTAGACCTTCACAGACACTCGTGGACTTAACCTTTCGCCTTCACCAAGCTGTTGCCACAAGGCCAGGGCTGTGCCACTTCACCAAAGAAAACTCGGTCAGTGGAACTGGGAACAGAAAATAAAATACACACTTGCAACATGTATTACCAATGCATTGCAGTTCTTCAACATTTGCAGACTCACATTTGTAGATTGAGGATCCAGTTTCACATTTCTTTACATTTACTATGGGTAGTTCCACGTGTTGACGTAAAATGTAAATAGGAGCTGTACTGTGACTCCCAAAAAAATTTACTTTCATTAAAACAACTAATAACTGTATCTTCTCTCTTATATGATAATTAAAAAGAAAACCTCACCATAATGCCATGGTTAAAACAACTCTTGTAATCCTATTTAACCTAACTTAAATAAAACATAGTGAGCAGCTTTTGTAACTGAACACCTCTTGTGATTATAATTATTGCTGTTCTTTTGCAGTATTAATTATAATGCCACTGGCAGCATTCATCTCTGTGTTCCCAATCTTTTTCCTGACAAAGTAGAGAGGTTAGCTTGTTCTCAGGGCAACAGCAAATGGAATTTCAATTTTCACGTTTTTTTACACCTGCAACTAGCCTGCTCTACCATGATATTTATATGGATTTAACTTTAATTTTTCTCGTTCTTTCATCTCTTAAATGAGTCTCTGTAATACACAGATCGCCCTTCCAGTATTGCTTTTCCTGTTTACTTGCCTTAACAATAGATTCATTAACAAGATTTGGTCGCACAGGTAATTGGGCCACATCCATTTCAAAGCAAGATTTAATGGCATTTCTTATTTTGTTACATTCGGGGAAGATTAAAGTATATTACAATACCTTTTTACAGTTCTATTTTCTTCATTTTAGAGGTGGTCAATTTTTAAATTATTTGTTCTTTTTCTTTCATCTCCAGCTTTCAATAAATTGTCTAGGCCTTTTAGTTAAGAGTGGCAGCAGCCCGAACCCTGTGTTCCTGCTCAGGCACATTGTTTGGGTCATTGTGGATGTCCAATAAGCCTTTTATTCCCTCACAAAACATCAAAAGGAAGATAAGCACCAGAGGTGGGGAAAAATTACTTTGTGTTGGATTTTTTTTCCTTCTTCTCCGTAATTGTTAGTGATTACTTTAATAGTCAAGAGGTGGCGAGTTTTAGGATTGATAGAACAAGATTGACAATACCTCTCAGCCCTTAAGATATTATTCCTCATTATTGTGCCGCATGAGAACAATCCTCATGTATATAGCACTTTCTGCTACTGGTAGCTTCTATTTACTAATCTAATAATCTGTAACAAAGGCATCAACAATTTCAGAGGCCTATATTGCTATACCATTTGTGTGGTTTCTATAGTTTTTTTTAAACCTGCAAAAAAAAAATCCTAGTCAAGGTTAAGCTACTAGAGCTGCAACCTGCAATTGAAGGTTTGCTGCCTGGCTAATATTACAACTACAATGGTTGACACCACATAATTGATGAGCCTTTATTAATTTTAACATGAAAGAAACAACAGCTCCCTGTCATTTGCAAAACACACAAGGGCAGGACATCATAAATATTAATTTCACGTACAGTGAGCACTTATTCTGTACTAGTACAAAAAACACAACATTTGGGGCCAATAAATCGGATTGCTTGATATGTGCATTGATGGTATCTACTGATACCAGATCAAAGTTTAAATTTATGATACACATTAAGAGTATTCCAAGAAATAGTTTCAAATATGAGCTTACAGTCAAAGGGCATGTTTACTACTATAGCAAATACTGAATTGAATATTTTCAGAATTAACAGGTGGGCTGAATGAACCCTTCCTATTCTACTCCCAGTGACCTGGAGTATAAAATAAAACATACATAAAATACTTAAGCTGACAATGTAATATCTCTTCTTCAATAAATCAATTAAACTTTTTTTTTAATTTGTGCATTAATTAATTTCTTTTATGTTTTAAAAACCATGCATAAGCAGATGGAGTCATTTAATATATGTTCTGGAGGAGGTCAAATTGCAGTCTCCCCCTTGCATTCTCGTGCACAAAGTTTTCTAGCAACCCTGCCCCCCCATCTTCACCCTTGCAGCAGCCTCCCTGTTTCATTCCTCGCAAGTTAGGCTTGAGTTTAGGGTCAGGAGTGTCATTTTCTCAGCCAAACGCTAAAATATGAAGTACACACTCTAACATACAGACGGCAGGATTCAACAGGTCCTGAAAGCTTGCGAAAGTAATATGTACTGTATAATACAAAATAACTAACTTTACAAAATAAAGTGTTAGAAACGAAAAATTCAGATGTAGCACCAGAAAGTAAACCGGTCAAGGAGCAAACACTCTAAGAAGAAAAGCACTGCAGATCTCTAGGAAGCAAAAAGCATCCAAACATTAATCACAAACTTTACAGGGCTATTAAATCACATGCCTTTAGGGACAAAAGTACCCAGTTCCCACTGTTTGAGATCCCGGCAGTGGTCTGCGGAAGAAGCAAGCTTCTGAAGTAAGGAAACTACATTTTAGCCCAGAGGGCCCTGCCACCACTACCTAATAAATGAGATTCCTTGATAAAAAATACTATTTACTTCTCAGATTCAACTGTCATCAATACTCATAACCTTTTGATGATTTACAGCCTTTATAGAAAAAAGGAGCAGGATTGATTTGGGGATGCAGGTTGAGTGTACATGTTGGCATTCAAAGCAAATATTGCACATGAGAAGTCTGCCAGGGGTTTTGACAAGCACTGTGACCCACACTGAGTCTGGAGAGAAACATTATGGTGTTCAGTCCACTAGGGATCAACTGAGAGTGCTGAGAAGGTGAACAGAAGAGATGTCTGAAGCGTGGTGTTACCAGACACTCTTTTGTCCTCAGCCTTCTTCACTTACAGCATGGTATTGTAATGGAGAAGAGAAAAATGGGAAAAAAATAGGAACTACCCTGGAACAAAACACATGTACGGTAAGAGGCACTGCAGCCTGAACATTAAAAGGACTTTACAAGGGTCTTAAAAATACAAATTTCTGTCACTAAACTGATTAATTACCAATCAAGAGGGAACCTTTCCCAAGATCCGCATTGAGCACATCTCAATTCCTTTAATGGTAACAGTTTGTTTCTGTGCTGGAAAAACCCTTTCATTCACACTCCTGTGTAGTAAATAGGAATCCAGGGCTCTCTGAACTCTAGACACAATATGTTAATGACAGACAACAAGATATGTAGTTGACAACAGGACTTTGACAATGCTATCTGGAGTAGAAACTTGAGCTTGATATCTCTAGTGCTGCTATTTTAATACCTACCTTATATACAATTAATATGACCATGTACAATGTCTTACAGTTTGCACAAAAGCTACACTTCAGTTGCAATTGCTTTCAAGGACCTATGAAGCACATTCTGATCTCTGAGAAATGTTTGCATGTAAATAAGAGGTGTAACAATGAGTTTCAAGTCTAAACAGAAACCAGGGCTTTCCACTGCTTTCCCTAAAAACAATCTAAGCAATGATTGTACTCTTATGTTTTAATGACTAAACATGTAATCTTGTTTAATGTGTGTTCAGTTTTGATATTTTTTTTAGAAATATTACCCTCAAAAGAGCATTTAAGAATAACAAAACCTGCCATGTAATTAAAGAAATTCTGAGTTGCACTCCAGAAAACATCCAGATCTAGGCGCTATGGTTAT